CTTGGTGGAGGACTTCCTCTTTTGGAAAAAGGCCATTGCCTTCTCCTTTTTCATCTCGCTTGCTGTCATTATGGAGGGATATGACACTTCGCTCATGAATAATTTCTTTCCCTTTCCGGCGTTCAAGAACAAGTTCGGTGACGAGGTCGATCCTGACGGCGGCAGATTGGTCTCTGCTCGATGGCAAACTATTATACTCAACGGAACCCAAGTCGGCTGCATCATTGGGCTGGCAATCAATGGTTATCTCTCGGAATGGCTCGGCTACAAGAAGACCATGGTTGCGACCATGGTCGCCATGGTCGCCGCAATTTTCATCCCATTCTTCTCAACGAGCCTCGACATGTATCTCGCTGGTGGCATCATCCAGGGCCTGCCGTGGGGCGTCTTCCAGACCTTGGCAGTTTCCTATGCTGCGTTAGTAAAATACCTTGAATTGCGCGTACAGTGAGGAAATGTGGACGAGCTGACTGAAAATTCCACCAACAGCGATCTGTGTCCGACTCATCTTCGAGGTACTTTTACACGCTTGCCTTGTCACATTTCGCCGAGACTCGAGTCAGGACTGACATGTTACACGCTCTAGCATACATGACATCGTGGGTCAACATTTGCTGGGTAGTTGGCGGCCTGCTATCCACTGGCATTCTTCGTGGGTTGCTCAACATTGACAGCGAGTGGGGATATCGGATCCCATTTGCACTTCAGTGGCTATGGCCTATACCCGTCACCATTGCCACTCTCATGTGCCCAGAGTCGCCGTAAGTCTTGAAACCTAGTGTCAAAAGATTGATTCTCAGACTAGAAAACGCTAAACAACTTTTATCAGATGGTGGCTCGTACGCAAAGGCCGTATCGACGAGGCCAAGGTTGCGATTCGCAAACTGATCAGCCCCAGACCTGGCAGCATGGACTTTGACGTGGATGCTCACGTCGAAATGATGATTGTGACGGACAAGTTTGAAAGACAGGCACAAGCCGGTACAAACTACTGGCACTGTTTTCAAAAGAGCGACTTGCGACGAACCGAAATTGCCGCCATGGTGTGCATGACCCAAGCCTTCTGCGGCGTTCCCTTCATGGGCTATGGTGTCCAGTTCATGGTAAGGGCTGGACTCGATACCGACAGCGCCTTCAACCTCAATGTTGTCCAGAGCTGCGTCGGCTTGATCGGCTGCATCCTCGCTTGGTGGCTCATGACGTATTTTGGCCGACGCTTTCTGTACCTGTCGGGCTTGTCCTCCATGTTTGTCATTCTCATGGCCATTGGATTTTTGGGCCTCGCCCCTGAGAGCAACTCTGGTACGCGATGGGCGGTTGGCGCCCTCATTATTTTCATGCTGTTCTTGTTTCAGCTTTCACTAGGTCCCATCTGTTGTAAGTACTACTGAAAACTTGTATAAAATCAGGAGACAAAAGGCAAGGCTAACAGATTCGGCCCGATAGATGCCATATTTGCCGAAATCGCCAGCACCCGTTTGCGGATCAAGACAGTGGTCATTGCCCGAGCAAGCTACAATACCGCCATATTTGTCAACAATGCCATCATGCCTAGAATTGTGGGCAGGAATGATTGGAACTGGGGTGCCAAGGGCGGGTTCTTCTGGGCAGGCATTGATCTGCTGTTCCTGGCCTGGACGTGGTTTCGACTGCCCGAGTCCCAAGGTTTGACTTATGCCGAGCTTGACCTTTTATTCGATCACAAGGTCCCGGCTCGGCAGTTCTCCCCGGAGAGAGCTGACGAGCTCAAACCGGCATTGGAGGAGATTGTGGCTCAAGAGAAGAGGCAATCGAGAATCCAAACAGTAGAAGTTGCAATTTAAAATAGCGAGATACCACAAGAATCTATATTTTCCCTGCCAGTTCGTGATGTTTTTTGCCTATGATGGACTCAAATACTCTAATCGGATGACGTAGCTCTACAGAACAACCATGTGTATCTTGATCATTCACAAGTGATCAAACGTAGTTGTGTAGGGCTGTCACAAGTAGCAAATGGGGGACGGAAATGATTGAACTGTACGCCCCATGGAACGTTACTGATAGGTATTGCTGCATGAAATAATGACCAACTATCAAACATATCGCCGTTGTAGCGGGGCAAGTATGATTTAGTATAATATGTCTTCGACAATTTATAGATATAGAAATGCATGGTATCGTCAAACGAAGACATCATACTATATAGTCAAGCGAAGGGAACTGGGTGTCATTTGAGGTTAATTACCCTCTTGTAAGAAAGCGTCTATAGAAAACAGGTCATTCTCCGACCTAAATGCCTTCTTGATCTTACCCCAGAGTCTAGAATGCACCCACCTACTGAACAAGCTTTAGGTCTGGCCTCAGATCTCTACTACATTAGCATCAAGATATGCGAACTAAAAGTCGACTGCCCCTGAACTTGGGCCAATGAAGATGGCGCTAGTCCCGATTACCAAGACCCCCGGTACCTGCCGTCTGCTACGTTGCACCGCGACAGTGAGCTATGAGCTTCGAGGTTGCTGCTCTCCTCTTCTTATCGGAAACAGCTCGCAGATCCATATATCAGGGTATCGGAGCAGCTGAACATAGTCAGCATATTTGCGGTTGCTGCTGGAGAAACACTGAAAAAAGATTGTTCCATCTTCGCCCATTCATCAGTCTCACATCGCATATACGCCTGCATTCTGCATCATACAATGGCGCCTCACAATATCGTGGACGAGGGTCCAACGGACCTGTCCCAGCAGGCTGAAGGCATCGAGGCGCTTCCTCCGCCACCCCCGCCCATGTCGGCAAAGCCACCGAGAATCCTCATCATTGGTGCCGGATCACGAGGACGTACGTATGCTAGGGCGACCTTATCTTCAAGTAACGGAGTAGTGGTGGCCGTTGCCGAGCCCGACGAGTATAAGCGGCAGCAATTTGGCCGCAACTTTATCAAAGGCTTTGACAAGGCGTCCGAGGGCTCCCTCTTCGCCGACTGGAAAGACTTTGTTGCCTATGAAACCGAACGCAGGCAGCGCGAGAAGTCTGGCGAGACGGTACCAGAGGGCGTCGACGCTGCCTTTGTATGCGTCCTCGACGAAATGCATCACGATGTCGTCGTGGGCTTGGCACCCCTAGGTCTACACATCATGTGCGAGAAGCCTCTGGCCACGACACTGGATGATTGCGTCGGCATGTACCAGGCACTCGCACCGCTACAGAAGGACAAGGTCTTCTCCATTGGACATGTGTTGCGATACAGCCCCCACAATATCATGTTACGAAAGCTGCTCCTGGAGGATAAGGCCATTGGCGAAATTCTCAGCGTCGTTCATACGGAACCGGTAGGATGGTGGCACTTCTCTCACAGCTATGTTCGAGGCAACTGGAGAAAGGAGTCAACCACGGCACCGTCTCTCCTGACCAAGAGCTGCCACGATATCGATGTCATCTTGTGGCTCCTGTGCTCACCTGCCCCTGGCTCGAATGCGCCCCCGCATTTGCCCTCGACAGTCTCTTCATCTGGCTCGCTGCAGTTCTTCAAGAAAGGTAGAAAGCCGAAGGCAGCAGGAAGCGCCACCAACTGCCTGACTTGTCCCATTGAAAAGGACTGCATGTACTCGAGCAAGAGGATATACGTCGGCTCCAAGCATCAAGGACTTGAGACCGGAAACACGCACTGGCCAGTCAGTATAGTGATGCCAGACATTGAAAGCTTTGATGAGAACAAGAGGCACCAAGTCCTTATGTCAAAGCTGGCTGAAGACTACACAGAATCAACACCACAGTCGGAGATCGATAAACGAAACTGGTTTGGTAGATGTGTGTTTGAATCGGACAACGATGTTTGCGACGAGCAGACTGTCACCATGACTTGGGACGACGAACCGCTAGATACGAGCGCGACCAATGCCGCATCAGATTCTCTGGGCGGTCGAGGATCGAAGCAGGCAACCTTTCACATGATAGCGCAGACAAAGAAGCAGTGCGATCGCTATTCATACATTTACGGAACAGAAGGCGAAATCTACGCCGACTCCAAGACCATCACGATTGAAGACTTTCAGACCGGGGAGACCAAAACCTTCAAGCCACGGCTTGAGAGTCTGGGACACGGTGGTGGCGATGTGGGCCTGACTAGGCAGTTCATACTTGCTGTCGATCACGTAAAGAACCACGGCTGGACAGCAGAAGCCGCACAAGCAGAATTCATTGGTTGTACCTTGGAGGAAGTCATCCGTAGCCACGCGCTCGTCTTTGCGGCTGAAGAGGCTCGGACGGGTAAGAAGGTCCTGGAGTGGAAGGAATGGTGGAATGAGAAAGTTGGCCATATTTCTACAGCTTGAGGCCTGAGTCCTGACTGACCCAGCTCTATCTGTCCACTCAGATCTTCAAAGTAGATCCTGGCTGGCACAGCATACGGCAATGACAATAAACAAGTATGAACGTGGTACGATTTGCAATGATGTTGACCCTGTCATGTGGAGGTGAAGGTTACAAAGCGTGAGCAGTGGGTGAAAAGATTGATGCACTCGTCGTGAAAATGTACATTTCAAGTACGTACGGAAAATCATCAAGGGTTTGCCGGATCGTGATGGCCTCATTATACCAAAATGGGTCTCATGTATCTTGACCAAAGCACAAGCCTTTAGACAGGACCACACGGATTCATCATAGGCGACCAAAATTGCAACTCAGTCAAAGTTCAGGAAGGGCCGACTAAGTCCTCTCGCACATTGTGGTGTGAACAAAAGGCTTTCCTAGTTTTGGAATGGGCTATGCTTTTATACAAGATCCCTTCTCTTCTTTCCAGTGAGATATCCATCAAGCTTTGATAGAATTCTTGCTTGCATCAGTGAATCATTTGCACAAATTAGATCATTATGGCCATTTGCCTGACAAAGTAGAATAAGATACAGTACTTGAATTACAAAGTATGCGCGGGTGATACCTGATGATCCACACTCACTGTGGCGTGATTTTGTGTCGCAGCAATAATAGTTAGCGTTAAGCCACTTATCTCCAACACAACGGGGCGAATGGCTCAGTGGTAGAGCATCCGCTTTGCATCTGATACACGTCAAATGTAAATTGCGGAAGGTCCAGGTTTCGATCACCTGTTCGTCCAGCTTTTTGCCCATTCTCCGTCGACAAGACGCCTCTACTTTTGTCACCAGCAATCTTTCATCCAATTCTCTCTGCAATACTATTTATTCTTCCCTTTTTAGCTGGAGTAGTTGATCAGCCTTTGATGTAGTTACCCAACTTTTGTTTGATCTGGAGGCAGAATTATTTCTTTCGCCGCCCCGAGCATCGCATCGGTGGCAAACTGTACGTACTTCAATACACCTGAGAGGAAGATGCACGTCCACATTATGTTGGTATGAAAGTGACTATATTTGCGTTAAAGTGTCTTGCGACTGAAATATACTTCTCAAATTTTAATGCTAGATGTTATTTGCACACGAATGACTACAAATACGACCAAGTAGATTTTCTGCGCCCATCCGATCGAGGTAACGCAAGCGGAGTAACCTGGTTATGATTACAAAACAGTACTGACATGCGATGCAAGTTCCTGCTTGGCATCCTTGGTCATTGTAGTATACTATCATCCCACGAGGTATAGTCTAATCGCCTACATGATTATTGGCGGGACAATTGGTTGAGGGGTTTCTATCCCATACCCCGAATCTTTGGTAATCTGCAGAGAATCTAACCCGCCGTAGCCACGGACTTCGTTCCTCCGTGGTCCATCTGCTGCTCTCCCGATCCCATGTTGCCACATTCAAGGTGCTGATGCGAGCCGCAAGAAGATGGCGACAGTATAAATTAAAGGCAGAACAATGGTACGAACCAATTTGTCTGCTATCGACGACTTTTCTGTCTGAAGGGACCCTGGGTATCGATCTTGACGACGGCAATCTCGAAGTGGTCATGATGCGGCTTACTAGTGGTCTAAGCACCGCCTTGGTGTCGCTGTTTTTGAGCAGTATAGCGCCAGTCTGCCATGCAGCAAACTTTACACTCGTGACAGAGGACTTTGGACCCAACCCTAGAAACGTTGGCTTTTACATCTATGTGCCTGATCAACTGGCCGAAAGCCCCCCAATTCTCGTCAACCCCCACTGGTAGGTGATCAGATCTCTGCCTCATCCAGCAATGTGCCACTATAAATAAAGACATGCCGGCATTTGTTTTTTGGTCACTCTGGCTAATTCATACACTACACATATAGGTGCCACGGTGCTGCAAATGACACGTATATCTACTCTCAGTATGCCAACTTGGCTGACCAGTACGGTTATATTGTCATTTACCCAGACAGTCCCAATCTCGAGGACAAGTGTTGGGACGTGTCGTCCAATGAGACCTTGACCCACGATGGAGGGGGTGATAGTCTGGGCATTGTCAGTATGGTGCGGTGGACCCTCGAAAAGTATAATGGCGATGCGAGCCGCGTCTTTGTGACGGGTATCTCTTCAGGCGTATGTTCATCAACATGAAACCCAAAGATGACTGTGGATGCTAATTTCTAAAACTGGTAGGCCATGATGACCAATGTCCTCCTTGGAGCTTACCCAGACGTATTTGCTGCTGGTTCGGCGTGGGCGGGCGTCCCGTTTGGTTGCTTTGCTGGTGATGGCTACGATGTCTGGAGCGACGCCTGCGCCACCGGCCAGGTTACGCACACGGCGGCCGAGTGGAAAGCCATTGTCCAAGCCGCCTACCCAGGCTATGATGGCTGGCGACCAAAGTTTCAACTGTTCCACGGCACGGCGGATCAGGTGCTCAACTACACCAACTTTGGCGAGGCTGTCAAGGAGTGGACCGCCGTGTTCGGGCTGAGCGACGTGCCCACGAGCACGACTCTCGACTGGCCCAAGGCCAATTGGACAAAGTACACATATGGAAACGACTGGTTCGAGGCGACGAGTGCCTTCAATGTGACGCACGATATCAGTACCAACGAGACGGTCGTCCTCGATTGGTTTGATCTGACTTGTACCACTGGAGGTTGTTTTCAGTGGGGTACTGGAGGCCCATCCAACGGAACGAGCTACCGCAGATGGACAGTATAGACAATTGAGGCGTGCATTCTCTATACAGACTGTATATACATGAAACAAATGATACTGAATTCTAGCAACGCAGCGATAAAGCGGCGACTGTGTGGCGGCTTTAGTCCTAGTACGCTGATGCAGAGCAGCCCATATATGAATCTCAGGCTATACGGTAATAAGTGATCATATCCGACAATGTTTGTATATGGCTTTGCCTCGTGTCTTGGCAATTGCGAATACCTCCTGCGTAGCCCGTCCGCTCTTGTCGCCTGCTGCTGCGCAGGCCGCCTTCCCAGGCGCTCCTAAAATAACCGTTAGGCTATCCTGCATTCTGATAAAAATGCCGAGCGGCATCATGGTCCGAGTCAAAGTCACGTATGTATAGTTACAGTCTGACCGTTGAGCTTTGATTGTCTTGGTCCAGCTCCGAGGCGCTATAATAGTCATGTCTAGTATCTGCCGACCTATTTATACAACAACGAGTCCTACACGTAATGGCTGATTTGGCACTGCTTTAGTGCGTTGCTTTGATGTCTAAGCGTGCGTAGTGGTCTGGCTAGACTTAGAGCTCCTTTCGCGTTTGGCCGCGCTGGCCGACCGACGCTTCCGGGACAGAGGGGGAAAAATTGAGCACCATATCTGCCAATTCTCAAGATGGGGATCGTTGTAGATGGTGAATCGGGAAGTCCGTTCTTGCTTCATCTGATATTTCGTCTCATTGCCGCGATATACGCCGGTGTATCTAGTCTATCTATTGACCTAGACTAGAGGCTTGAGTTGAGCCCTAGATAAGGAATACTTGTCCACTTTGTATAAGCGAGCAGGAAGGATTGGATTGGATTGCGAGGCCGATGATCTTACCCCGCCTGCGCAGTCCCCCTAGTCTTTTACAGTACGCTCTTTTTGCTTTTTGTTCTTCATCATCAACCTCAGCTCTGTTTCGAGATCATATCATCTAATCTAGGGCCTATTCCTGGGTCTTTAGCGCTCATGCGTTGTACGCGTATACTGTTCCCTTGAAAGGAACTTAGTAGTACTTTAACAAGTCTGGTCCAAGTGCTACCTCCTTATCACGTGTCCTACAATGCAGGAACAGGAGACTAAAGTGAGCCTTTAACGAGACTATTTTTGTTCTATTATTCCCGCTTTGAGCGCAAGACGGATGGGTTAACGGCAGCTTTCAGGATCGGAAACCTTCCGTCGCCTCTGGGCATTCTGCCACGTCGGCATCGGCGGCATCAGCCAAGTCGCAGCCAACATCTTCCCACAGCTCTGGTAGCAATCGCAAACCAACAGGCTTTACGATTCCCGACCCAGCATCTGTCGAAGAGCACGGTAGGACGTACAATGGCTACCGTGAGGGCAAGTATCTTCTTCCCAATGATGCGCTCGAACAGGAGCGCCTCGATCTGGCACACGAGATGTGGCGGCTGCTGCTATTTGGCGACTTGTCATGGGTCCCTTTTGCCGATGAGCCCAAGCAGGTGCTCGACATCGGCACGGGCACGGGTATTTGGGCAATTGAGTTTGCCCAGCAGCACCCGGCATCCCACGTCGTCGGGACTGACCTGAGCCTCATACAGCCGGCCGAAGGGAGCATCCCGTCAAATTGTACATTTGAGCGCGATGATATCGAGGAAGAATGGGTCTTTGATCGGCTATTCGACTATATTCACTTACGGGCCATGTTGACATGTTTCAATGATCACGTCGGCGTGTTGCAAAAGATCTACAACAACCTACAGCCAGGCGGATGGGTCGAGTACCACGACTACGACCCGGGAGTATTTGGCAAGGATGAGGCCAACCAGCAGGCCCTCCTGAGAGCGCCGCTGTGGGAGTGGTGCCAGCGAGTATTCAAAGGCGCGAAGCGGTTTGGGCGGGATATGTTCATTGCCCGGCGCTACAAGCAATTGTTGATCGACACGGGCTTTCTAGAAGTCACGGAGAAGATCTTGCTGGTTCCCAACAAGCCGTGGCCTGAGGATCCTCGAGAACGTCGGATTGGACAGTACCAGCAGGCCAACAGTCTAGAGATGCTCGACGGCGTCAGTGCCAAAATCTTCCAGGCGGACGGAATGTCTTCGGAGGAGGTTGAGAGCCTGATATCTAGGACCCGTGAGAGTTTCCTGAGCAAAGAGTTGCATCTCTACTCGCGTATATATGTCGTGTATGGACGGAAGCCTCGGGAAGATGAAGTACCGCAACAGCATGGAGAGCATACATCCGAGGAGCCACAAGTATCGGCAGATGAAGGTCTCGCCACGACGGCGCAACACACGGATGAAAACTTGCCAGATGTGGTTTCGAGCGTGAAAGCGTCTGAAGAGACCATTGACAGACACGATGCGTCGACCGTGGCACATTCGGCCACTGCCCTGGAAGCAACAGAAACAACAATGGAAGTACCAATTGTGAGCATATCGGAGGAACCATCAGATCATGTGGTCCTGGAATCCTTCACTCAATTAGCTCTGCAAGATGGTAGGGACATTGCAGCGGATGCTGTCACGCAGGATAAGACTGAAGGAGCAGAACCTACCGAGCTGGATACAACCACTGCCGACCATAGCCTGGCGAAGGGGCGAATGACAGATACATAGGAATGGAGATCAACTTGTTCTTCCTTACTTTGATTGTCTCCCAATGAAACTTCTTAAAACCCGATGGTCAGCACGGGAGATGTTGCGACATTCCAGATTGGCAAGCATGGAATGCTGCTGCTGGTCGTTGAAATGCATGCTTATCCCAATATACGTACTCATCTGTATTTTCGCCAAACCTGGCCGGGGTTTCCATATATGCATGAAAGCACATGTGGGGTTGTACCTGGCCACCAAGGTCAAGGCAGTGAAGATAACGCGGGAAAGAAATCTGTCTTATTACAATGTTGGCCAATAAGACATGAAGAGACGCCGAATCAAAGAATTAGAGTTGAGATGGAGCGGGTTCCTGACAGGTTGAGCGACAATGATTCTGCTGCTACTCACCTATGGTTCTCGCCTGGCTTGCTGGGCGCTGTGCTGAAATGTAGCTTAGCGCACCAGGTCAAGTGTCGGCTTGG